TTCTAAAACTTTATCATTGTTCACATGTTCAGTCTCTGGCATTCTCAGCATCCTTTCATCAAAAAAACATTTCTATTGCGACAAGTCTCTTCTTCATCTGTGAGGAGACAGATCAAATAGACAAATACTAAGAACTACAAAAGTCAGGAAAACGTGAAGAACCATGATTGTCCACATCATGAAGGGACATAGGACATAAACTTAAACGGGCTTGCATATAATTGCAAGTTTACTCTTGAAATTGCAGCTCTTCTCACTTGTCAAAATCCTCTTCTGGCTTACTACCTTTTCTCATTGGAACTTTAACTTAACAAATTTAAACACAGTACTAGATTGGCAGTTAAGGTCCCATAATTTCAATGCTGAAATTGCTAGTTGTCACCATAAGTTCTATACTGACAGTTTCAGACTTCTTGCTTGTTGAACGCTCTTTTGGCTTTCTACTTTCTCGTCAACTATAATCTTCAAAAATTTAAATGCAATGTCAGTTGTCATCTTTTGTCTCTTTGAATCCTATTCTTTTATTGCCCTATCAGTTTCTTTAGCTCTCAGAAGCCCTTTGTGTCCTAGTGTCTTTTATTGTGTGATTAAAAAAAATATAAAGGAAAAAACCTTATCACTCAACAATGAATAATTGATGGCAGTCGTGAAAACTCATCCAGAAACAAAATCACAGGCATTCGAAGCAGAACTGGAGTTAGTCCATAAAAAAGGTGCAATGTAACAAATTATTTCACCAACCAACGTCAAATTCAGTCAGATAACAGAGTGGAACCCACAATCTTTTTATCAGGCGTATATAGCATGTGCTTTAACAGGCATTTAAATTCAGAGTTGTCATTCTTCTAGATGGAGTGCAAAACAAGGCTGGAAAGCCCAGTCTTCTCTATGATTTAACCCATAGCTCGGAGAGAGAAAATAGTTTCATATCTTTCCCAAATGTATTTGTGCATAAGTGAATGCAATGAACTTAACTGCAATTTGAACTCAGCTCCCTGATGTCTCATTTTGAGCCACTATCCATCATACCACCAGCACATCCTTGAGTTCTTTTTTACTACTTTATATTGGGCATATTAGATTTACTTCCTTTAGGAAAAGAATGTAAATCTAATATGCATGAAATAAGTTAGTAGGACAATTAGAAACATCTTCATTGGCAATTGAACTATCATGAGGATTTCAACTTGAAGTTTTAAACAACAAATCCTCCCCATCCATAAGAACAGTTATTTGAAGCCATTGATAAGAGAGCTCACAGATTTATGTGAGTACAAAAAGATAAATACAGAATGATAAATTTTATTTTATTTAGTCTTATCCTTTCTTGTTTGTCTCACTTGCTGAAAAAATTCAAGCAACATCTAAATGAGGAGGCACAAAGCATCAAAACAATATACAAGTTGCTGATTGATTGACTTCTGTTTTATGGCTTATCGGCCGTTTAACTCCCTATTTAAAGCGAAATATAATTTTGGGGGGAGATTGCAATTTTTTTTCTGCAAGTGAATATTGATTGCATTAATAATTTGTTGAGAATAATCATTTTTCCAGATACAAGTCCTACTATTTAGCTGGGGAAATGAAATGGATTCATACCTTTCTTTAGGGCATTAGCATATAAGTGAATGCAATGAACCTGACTGGAATTTGAACATTGCTCTGTGATTTCTTAATTCCAAGCTGTTATCCATGAGACCTCCCACACATCTTGATATACAAGTGACCAAGTGGTTAGAATATTTGCATTCCTGCCAAGTTTAAATCCCATCATGGTCAATTTGTCCATAAGGTGACCATCATAACACTGTCCTAGAGAGATGATACCCGTATGTGGCACCATTGGAAAGTCCCTCAAAACTATACCCTATCACACTCTTTCATTTCTTCTTCTACTACGGGCTGTGTCCCTTTAAGATGTGGACAATCATGGCCCTCTACAAGTACCTATCCCTTATGGCTCTTGCCAGTGTTTCTCCTTTTACCAAGCCTTCTCTTACCCCATTCTTCAATCCATTCACACAAGATCGCCAAGATAGATGATCTGCTGCTTTGCTTTCTCCCTTTCTTGCTCTCAATATGCCATGTGAGGATTAAGTTTTCTTAGCACTCTTTTGTGATGTCAATGAACATTCATTACCACTTCTGCCAACGAATACTTGTTGTAGTAGAGACTTTATAATAGCAGATACAACTATAGTAAGCCATTGAACAATGCTGGTGTCAGATGCCTTTGAATAGCATTTGCACTAATAATACTTGCTTGACAAGCAATTATATTAAAGTGGCTTCCCTTTGAAAGAATTCTGTCTGAGAATTTAGTTTCCCAGAACACATTTCCTCATGTCAAATACCTAATATTAACCCTGTATCTCTTTCATTTTTTTTTTTTATTCACCTGCATGTAGCAACCTGTTTGTCACTTACAAAGTCCTTATTACTTGCCCATCAAGTTTCATATATGTTGAGAATGTGGGCATTTACTCTGTTTCTTGATTGATATTTTCAAACTGGCCACACTGTTGACACATCCTTATGTACCAAGTCCCAATTACTATTTTTGTTTGTTGCAAACTCTCATGGTTCATTAACGCTTGTCATGCATTTCTGTCCTTACCGTAAAGGGATCCTTCCCAAGGGGCTTGATCCCCTTTATGCTTTTATTTTTTAGACACATTTTGAAAAATGGATTCTTTAAAAAACAAAATAAAAAATAAAAGAAAAGAAAAGAAAGATAAAAAAAATTAAATATCTTAGAAGCATAAATTTCCTATAAGGGATTCAAATAGAAAAAAAAATGTCAAAATGTCTGTATCTTTTTGGCTTTGAGCCTAATTTGCATATTCATATTGTCTGTGCATCAGGAATGAAATTGAATTTGACAAGCTTCCTAAGTCAATTATCCTATTATATAGTCTCCACTAATTACATTTTATGATCTACCGATGTTACACCGATACCGTCACTGAATATAAAGCAGAATAAGAAAAATATTGCCAAATTCTTTTCTTCAATTGCCATGACTTTTCCAACTTTCTTAAGTAAAGAGACCAAGAGAACTTCTATTTGAATAATTGGATTAGTATTTATTGGAACTTACTGTTTTGTTAAATGTAGTCAAAGTTTGGACGGAACTCCCTCAAGTTTATTTTATTATTTAGCAAACGTTTCTGCTTGGACATTATGGTGCTGTTGCCATGAGAGGAATGTTTACAATATTTACTCACTATAAGGCACAATCTAGAGGGTTACTAAATGAGGGTGTATCATGGATGCACAGGCAGGAAAAGATATAAGTAGGTGCAGATTATGGGAATATACCCGATAGGTAACATTTGACCCTAGACTTGAAAAGCTTAAGTGTTCTGAGAAGCATCCTCTTGGAAGTCTGTTGTATAAATTAGTGGTTCTTAGGAAGAAGCTGTAAAAATGGAGCTTCTTTCTTGCAAATGGAATACAAAGGGAATGAGAATGGGTTGGCCCTGTATATATAGCATAGATGATCCTAGCTGTGAAGGTCTGAACTGGTAGAAATAAGGAATGTAGTTTGTCAGAACATTTTCCATAGAAGTAGTGATGGACTAGCAAGAGGCTTGTGATGATGCATCTCTGGGAGAGGAATGATTAATTCATTTTCTCTCAAGACTTTACAGTTTATTTAAAACTGTTTTTAGATTCTAAGATTTTTTTTTTTTTTGAGATAATGATTTAGCAATACAAGTTTTACTAATTAACCCATAGATGGGGAGAAGAGGCGGATTCATACCTTTCTCAGGGGCATTTGTGCGTAAGTGAAAATATTGAACCCAACTAGAATTTGGAACTTGGCTCTCCAATTAAAAATTCGAAGTCATTATCCATTACACTAACTACACATCTAAACTTACAGCATATGGTATACCCAAATGGTCACCCATTTAGAAAATCAACAGACTTAATTTCAGTGACTGTATAGGAACTGGTGTTTCAATATAATGTGGGTATTAGTCACTCTGGGAGATGGGGTGTAGTGTAGAGTATCATTTATTGCCTACAAGCCAGTGAAATTGTTTTTGAATTCTGTCATGGTTGGGATGATAAAGATCGTGTAGCCCTGATATGGTGACAATGCTCAATTTTTGGTTTGATCTAGCTCTTGTAAAGATAGAGCATGGTAGTTGTTGCTCTTGAAATAACCAAATGTCCTGCTTCATATGTCTTTGTCTGTTATGATCATCTTATGTTTTAAAAATGGAGTCATCACAGGTGTACAGAGGAAAGTTTAAAAAGTAGCAAAAGGAAATCAACCAGAAAATTTAGAAGATCCATATGGAGGACTTGATTATCATGATAAAGGTGTGTGCAGGACCATCCACACTTTATGGAACTACTTATGTTGCCATATCTGGGCTACTCAATCCTCACTGTCCAGTCTTGAAAGAGTTTAAAGCATTTATGCCACCTTGTGGTTGATGAAATATTTTCCATCATTTCACTACACTTTTCCTGCAGATGAAACTTTGCTAGCCTCTCACTAATCCATCTTTATTTTAATGGTAAATGTTCAAACTAGATACATTTCTTAGTTATACCAAGCCAGAACTTCAAAAGTAAACCAATCCTGCCACACATTCAGGGTTGAAGCATTCTCATTCCCTTTGTATTCCATTGGGAAGGATGAAGTTCAACTAAGATTTTTCAAAAAAAAAAACAATGCAATGCTTTTTGTTTTATAAACTTATTTTTACCCAGACTCATAAGAGTCCGCCAATAATGTTTGTGGGACAAATGCAACAGGAGCCCATAAATATTTACTATACAATGTCAATACACTAATAGCAAAAGCATTGAATCCTACTACTAAATTCTGACTTATTTTAATCCAAACATACTAGGAACCCACAACAATACAAAGAGCTTGAGGTATGAGGATGTGTTGAAAAATTCTTACCCAGGCCCACAATTCTAAATCTTAAAAAAAATAACCAAGCATCAAATTTTTTTTTTAATCCTTTTTTGATTTATGAAGATAAATTTTTGGCACACCCACATAGAAAAATAGAAAGATAGAAGTGTAGAAGCAAGATGAGAATGGTCGATGTGAACGCAGAGAGAATGGTCGATGTGAACGCAGAGAGAATGGTCGATGTGAACGCAGAGAATGGTCGATGAACGCAGAGAGAATGGTCGATGTGAACGCAGAGAGAATGGTCGATGTGAACGCAGAGAGAATGGTCGATGAACGCAGAGAGAATGGTCGATGTGAACGCAGAGAGAATGGTCGATGTGAACGCAGAGAGAATGGTCGATGTGAACGCAGAGAGAATGGTCGATGTGAACGCAGAGAGAATGGTCGATGTGAACGCAGAGAGAATGGTCGATGTGAACGCAAAGCAAATGAGAGATAGAACAGATACTAAAGCAAATGAGAGATAGAACAGATACTAAAGCAAATGAGAGAAAACTAAAACTGTATCATACTAATGTAATATTGTGTATATACACAAATTATACAATAAGAATGCAAAGAAAGTTTTATTAAATCAATATTGAAAAATTATGCAATGTTTTCTTGCATTTGTTAGTTATTTGAACATTCAAGTGTAAAAATGTGTGTCAGGGTAACAGGCAATAACTATTTTCACATTAAAAATCCATTTGCTAAATGAATGGAGCTTTCAGCTCACACAGAAACTTTATGCATCCATTCTTAGCAATAACTTAACTCAAATTAAGAAAATTTCTCGTCATTTTTGGAAAGACAAATAAAGATTTTTAAAACTCGTACAAGTCTTTACGTTTGCCATTAATATGTAGCCTCACTTTGAATCAATGCTCATCATGAAGAGATGTGTTTTTGGTGTTGCAGTTAGTGGCTCAGAAAGAGAAATTAGTGTTTCAAGTTTGAATTCTGACTGAGTTCATTACATCCACTTTTGCAAAAATACCCTTGAGAAAAGCATAAATCTATTCTTTCCCCAAATATGGGTTAAATAACAGGCCAAACAGAAGTTCTTCAGCCTTGGTTGGCAATCTATTAAGAGATGTTAACTTGATAAAAAAAAAACACATCCTCAGCAGCCTGGACCAGTCATGGAAATGTATTGCTCCTTGCAATGTCATCTTTTAACCTTCTAAATCCTTTTGAGTCTTAGTGCTGAGATGGTGAAACTCATCATAAAGAACTTTACTATATGAAAAAAAACACTTATTTTACTCTATAGCAAACATTTAATTTCTCTCTGAATTTCTGAGATGAAGAGTTATTATTTTCATTGGAATTATTCTCCCCATGCAAATAATAGAAATAACAAAGATTTTTATTTACATTAAAGTTCAGTTTGTCAAATACAAAATACCTGCATCTTGTAAAGTGGTGCTAATAAATACATTTCAGTTTTAATAGAAAATAATTTTTCTTGTGTTCATCTTTACCTCTCAATCATACTTATATAAGATAAAGAACAAATAGGAAACTTATCAATTGAACATATTTCACTTTTATTAAAGCTTCATCAGAGAATGAAATGTGGAGAAAAAAAATTACTATTTTTACATTTCTGTGGTTTGATTTTCATTGGTCAATCATGTTTCATGCACATTTGATTCTTTAAATGATCATTAGTATAATTTTTGGCATTCCGAATTCAATAAGAGATGCAGCTTCCATCTGAAGTCTCAAGAAATTAATGGATCCCAAGCCTACTGCTAATTTCTTCAAAAAATTCCAGAAAGATGTGTCATCTCTGAATTTGGAATGCCACAATTTATACTAATTTTAATTTAAAGAATCGAATGCATGTGAAACATGATTTGCAAGTGAAAGTTAAGCAAAACTTAAGTAAAAATACCAGAATTTCTTTCTTCTTTTTCTCCATATCTCAGTCACTGACGAAGCTTTAATAAAAGAGAATCATGTTAGATTGATAAACGTTTTCTATTTGTTCTTTATCATTTTATAAGATGACAACCCATATTTGATACAGCCTCTCATATATATATATATATATATATATATATATATATATATATATATATATATATATATAGAGAGAGAGAGAGAGTAGTGGATGTTAAGTGGCGATAGTCTTTTTCATCATTAAAACAAACTTCAAGGCAGACAGATGACCTGAAGATTTCGTACAAGCATAAAACAGACTATTTACTCTCTCTCTCTATATTATATATATATATATATATATATATATAATGAACTTATACTCTTATGTAAAAGACTACCTAACAAATTTTCAATTTTCTTAGTTTAAACTTTTCCCTATTTCTTAAGAAAATATTAATTTCTCTTTTGCTGGTAATCCAATGCTAAATTAATGTACAGTAATGCCTACTTTACACCAAGTTAGAATTTGACTTTCTTACATCAATACTATATCATATCTTTCATGCTATTGCTGACAATGGCCACTTGGACTAAAACAGAATCCAAAGGTTAATTATTTTTTTCTGGGATTCACTGTGATTTAACAGATCAATATGATAATTGTCCATATTATAGGAAACTGAATAACCCTTGATCTTTGAAGAAAAATGAAAGGAAGTGTGCTGTAAGAATTTATATTTAAGAGGGAAACAGCTAAAATGGATGCTTGAATAGCAAAGATTAACACATATTGAAGATAATATTATTTCTATGAAATATGTACTGATTGAAATTGCTTGCTATAAAATAATGTTTAAAGTTCTTCATGATAAAGGAATAGTGGTTAAATATACAAGTCCTACTATTTAACAGTCGCAGGGAGAAGATGAAGTCATACTTTTCTCAAGGGTATTTGCACATAAGTGAATGCAACAAAGAGCTTACAGCCATATCTCTTTGTAACACTGGTTCTTGTCTGATCATTAAAGCAATGTTGGGGCTGGTCAGTATTTAGATGGGTGACCACTTGGGAATACCAAGTACTGTAAACTTGGATGGGAATGTGGTGTAATGTATAATGGCAGTAGCAATTTTGGAACTCTGAAAGTTTTTTTTTTGGTGGGGGAGGGCACTTGGGAGACAAGATTTTTCCATGGAGGAGGTGGGGACAAATTCAAGCAGTGTCTTTATTTTCATACTAATGTACACACAACTAAGGAATGAGTTTTAGTGTAAGTATGTTTAGTTATATGCCATGCGTGATACACGCTTAGCTGATCATATATCTTATGATATATGACTGACGAGCCAGATTTTTTCCCCTGGAGTAGGTTGCCATTTCTTTCTTCGGTAGACCAGTTGACATCCAACACTATAGAACCTGGTCTGTCCTGCTATTTACCCATAGCTGGGGGGAGAAGAAGATTCATACCTTTTCCAAGGGTATTAGCAAATAAATGAATGTAATGTGTTCAACTGGAATTTGAACTTGGCTCTCCGATTTCTCAATCTGAGCTTCACTAAATTAAATAGAATAACTTTTCATTTATAGTAGTGGAGTTCTAATCTATTCTTGCCCTCTTTTCCACTCTCAAGATGTTGGACCGCAAGAGAGGTTAACTTCAAAACAAATTCAAAGTGTTAATACTAACATTAATACTAGCAGAACAGTGTAATTTGTCTACTCTGATATTTTTTCCTCGACAAAACTTTTTCAAATCATAAAAAATAAATGCGAGAAAAATAAGTGTGAAAATAAAATAATGCAATGAAATCAATCAAAATGCTGTGGGCATGAGAGACAAAAAAATCAGCTAAAAAATTAATCTATGTTTATGATAAACTCCGGCCATACCATCAAGAAGCTACTTTGAAATAAGTAAATAATTCAAATAATATAATATCTCCTGACCATGAAAAAAAACATCAAATAGGGCATCTGGATTGACACAAACCAAAGTTAACATGCAAGTTAATGTAAATTATTTTACATCAAAATTCAGATAAATTTACTTCTTAAAGAGCTGAGTCAATTTAACCTACTACTAGCTCAAAAAATTGAAGCTTGATTGAATGGTCGGACTCAGGGTATTGTCGGTAACCAGATAATTTGTAGTGGATGGGTTTGGTTATCGAGTTTTATTTTGATATCTGGAAATACTTTTTTTGTATTAAACATAGTCAGAGATATCATCACCACTAACAATCCTCCTGATACAATAAAGTCAGTATTTATTTGGAAAAGGACAAATTAGAATATCAGAATCATCAGGCTTTTGACAATCATGTAAAACAATAAAAGAAACACACAAACAAACAACAATAAAAGAATTTATATATATATATATATATATATATATATATATATATAAAGTTTTATGGAAAGAAAAGAATTGTAAATAATTATTTTTACAATGAAAGGTTCACAGACAGAGGTGACTTGTTTTCTTTTAGTCTTTATAAAATGAATTTGTTTTTAAAATGTTTCTGTCTTGTACTCACAAAGTCCTTTAATGGGTTATAATCCTGTGGATTTATATTTCAGATTGGTAGGGCTATTTTCCATTTTTAAAGTACTTTTTCTTTTACTTTTTAGATGTGAATGTAATAAAAAAATAAACTAAATAAAAAAGAAAACAGAGGGAAAAGTACTGAAGATCAAATCTTATCAAAATCAGAGACTGATCAGTTTCATACATTTTTTAAGATTAGAAAAATAGGGAGGGGGGCACCTGAGGGGCCAGCCAAAGGTGGGGCGCATTGGTCCCTTCTCTCCCCCTCCTGAAACGAATTACCACCGTAATGGCTCTGGATGAGAAATCAGCAAGCTGAGCTTGAATTTCAGTCTGGTTTGTTATATTGACTTATGCAGATACCAGGTGACTAGGAGCTGAAAACAGACATGATCACTCAAGAATGTCACATCTGTCCCTGCTGAAAACTTGGTTATCTGACTTTTTATTCTAAACCTCAATACCAACTCACACTGCCTTAATGAAACTGTCGACACCCACTTGCATCCAATCATTGATTTCATCATCCTCTCTCCCTCTTCACTTTTTCTCTCCTGGTGGCAGTGGCAGAAATGGCTGTGAATCAAAGGTGCATGAATTTGATTTTGGTGGACAACTCTGTATGACAAAGAAGCCCATGCACTTGGGGAGAAGCACCTCCCTTGTGGTTCAAAGAGGATTGAGACAGGCCAGATCTGGTAAACCTGGTTTCATTCGACTGTCATGTGCTTGGTCTGTCAAGATCTGCCTTGGATACACCAACCAGTCTGCTCACTTCTGCTAGTTTGTTCATTGAAATACTGTAGATCTTTGCCTATTCCACCATTGGGGGTCTTCAGGGATTGGTCGCATTCAGTCTGGTCTCTCCTCCTCAAACTTACCACCATGGGTTGCCCCTACAAGAGTTGGAACTCCAGACGGTTTCACTCTTGGAATCACTAAGACATGCATGATTTCTAGTAATGTCCATATATATATATATATTTGACACTGGATGTCAGTGTGAACAGTTATCAGATCTACCATTTTGACTTAATATTACTTTTAGTGG